ACACACACACACACACACACACACACACACACACACACACACACACAGAGACAGAGAGAAGAACAAGAGACTATAAAGGACTCTGCTCAGTGAAACAGTCATGAGATCTCCATGGCCTGGTGGCCTAGGTCATTGTCAGGTCTCTCATTTGCTTTTGTTTTTCTTGTTGGAAATCATGTTAGCTGGACTTTATCTCCTCTCTGTCAAAAGAGCTACTCTGACTTAGAGGTTTTTCAGCATACTCCAGTGAGACCAGTCTCAAACCTACATGTCGACAAACCTTTCTAATATACCAGATTAACGTTTGTGTCCCTGTTCACGATTATGGTAGGCAGAATAATAACTCTTACAAAGACAAAACATTCCAATCTTGAGAACCTGCGAATATGTTGTATGGCAAAATGGACTTGGCAAATATGATTAAAGCAAAGACTTTCAAATGAGGTCAGTGTGGTGTTTCCAGAAAGGCCCATTCTTTTCATATACTCCTTCATGTTTTCCTTTGGTTAGTCATTCTTAACCCATTGTCACCATGCTAACTTTGGCTTAAAAGTCACCTCTTCCCTGAAGATTTTCTCGGGTGTTCATTTCTAGAGAATGAGCCATCGGTACCTTCTCAATCAGCAGATATCCTCTTTGCCTGCAGCCTTTTCCTTGCATTCCCCTTCCCCTTTCTGGTACTGGAGGATTTCTGTGGCACTTGAATAACATAAAAACAGTCTTCTTTTGGGAAAAGGTGGTTTTGAAGAAGAACTGTATCTTAAGTGATGAACTTCGGAAAGGCTAACTGCTGCTAAGATTGGAATTTCTCTATTCCTACTCTATACTCTCCCTTAAAACCCCAGAACATTGCTACCCCTTTCTACCCTGAGGCAATTCAAATGTCAGTGTTTGCTAACTTTAATAGAAACATAATGGCCAAACAGCTTGTTGTAAGCAATGAGATATAAAGGAGCCACTAACGGCCTTTTGTATTTATACTGAGAACTAGAAAGCGGCAGTTCAAAGCCGAATAAAGCACCATGCCTGCCGTTTTAATTCTGACAATTTTGCATAATGATACTGTCTTCTTTCTTAACTACCACAGTGACCGGGGGCCCTGGTGACCATGGCCTTCTATTTCAAAGACTTCTCTCAGTAAGAATTAGCCTCGTTGCAGCTGCTTTGTTTAATGCCATCTGAGCTTGTACCCAGCTTCTGCGTATCTTCAGATATTATTCCTTTTATCCTTTTTTCTTTAGGTAATGTTCACTGAATTCAACTCACATTACTGAATGAAGAATGTGACAGTAATATTAGATAGGGCTCTAGTGATTGAACA